TGATTCATGCTTAGAATTTGCTAAGCACACTGGTATTTAACCAATAAGCACACTGGTATATACTAAACAATTGTGATGAAGTGGAACCTTAACTCCAGTATGTATCTCTTTCTTCGTATAACTCGTATATTAGAATTTGCTATTATAACAAAATTAAGATATATTTCATGCTTAGGGAACATATGAGTCTTCTTCAATTAAATGGATATGGTGATTTGTACAAGAGACAACAATTAGAGTTTCCTACTTGGTTAAAAAAAAAGGTAGGTAGATACTCGTAGTTATACGACTCTAGCTATTGTTTTTTTTTTCAGATATTGTAACTATAAATTGGTTTATTTGATTAGGCTCAAATATTGTATCGTGAAAAAGGGATTTTCGATGGGTTGTATGCCCTGGCTCTAGGCCCGAACAACTGTGTTCAATCTTATAGTGGGTGTATAGCTAATGATATTTGATTTCATTCAAAAGAGTGCGATAGTCGTTGAGTTACTCAAAATAATGGCGTTATGGTCCCTAGAGATGACGAAACCGGACAAATAAATTTCTATGGAGAGTTGCATGAAATAGTTAGGCTTCAATATATCTTCTCGAAGGCAGTGCATCTTTTTAAATGTGAATGGTACGATACAAGTTCAAAAAAGGGCAGGATTAATGTATCTGATGGTTATACATCGATTAATACTCGTTATCGATGGTACAAAGATGAGTCATTCATACTTACAAGTCAAGCAATCCAGGTATTCTACTTAGATGATTACAAACTTGGTCAATATTGGAAAATTGTTCAAAAAATTCAACAAAGACATGTGTAGGATATTCCAAAGGTTGAAAATAATGAAATAGAAGAAGTAGTGATGGATGAACCTATTCGTACCTGTTACCTACAAGTTGATGATAACTTGGATTCACAGACGTTTAGTAGAGAATATGTTGTACCCATGCCTATTAGAGATGAAGTAGATTTTGATAGTGACGAGAAGTTGTCTACTAACGAAGAAAAGTTCGATTTTGAGTATTCTAGCGATAGTTCTGTAAGCTTAGATTCGAATGTATTATTAGATGATGAACAGAGTGATAGTGATAGATAGACATATTCGTAAGTTGATAAAATTATATGCAATATTTAGTCTTATATTTACAATATTTATGTGTTTGATTTTGTTAAATTTTTATGTTACAGGATGTTGTCGTCAAATCATGGACCAGGGAATCGGCGTAAATGCATAGCGAACGTTGAAGGAATAGAGAACGCTCACCAAGAAGGCATCGATCACCAAGCTCAAAGTAAGTATTGAGTTAAATGAAAATACTTCATATTTAAAGTAAGTTTAAATAAATTGATATTTGATATTTTTTATGTAGGTTTTGGCAGACTTAAGAGGAGAGGTAGAGGCAAGAGTCGAGGGCTCAATGTCGACGTACGAGTTAATGATGATGGTTCTATACCAATAACTATCGAAGAGGAGGATGGCAAGCCAGTTTGTAGAAATAATTCGAAACTAGCGGCTCAAATTGGTCTTTGTGTACGGAATCACGTTCCTCTGGAATGTGCACAATGGTCGGATGTCAAACAGGAGACGAAAAATGAGATATTACAAAGAATTTGTGTAAGTTTGATTTAGTGGTTTTTTTTTTAAAATATCGTTATTTCGTAGAACGTTAACACATTCTTTTGGTTGTTTATTATTAGAACCACTTCAATCTCGATATGAACGACCATATTGTCATGCGATACTTGGACCACAGATGAGTACCAGGCATAAGGATTTTTGCTACCGATTGCATAAATGGTACAAGGAATTTGATCTCGCTGAGGCAAGAAATAACCGACATGAAGATGTATTGCTAGATGCAGATTGGAATCGCTTGTGCGATCGATGGGAATCAGAGAAGTTTAAGGTATGTACGTGCTACGATATTTGTAAATAACTTTCTCAAATATACATTGTATGCTAATGAATCTTCACCGACGACGCTCTTGTCATCTAAATTACAGAAAACATCTTAAAGGAACACTAGAGCTCGATCGACTGTACTGTACCCTCATACAGTAGGAACTATTGCATTCTTACGACACAGGGAAAATATTGTAGGTATCATTTTCTTCTCATAATTCAATCAATAGTTCACTACTCATTACTTTGTTTGATAATTATGTAGAAAATCAAAGAGAGTCGGGAGGTAGATGACATTTAGGTATTCGAGATTTCCCATAAAAAGCAAACCAAGAGTGGGCGAACCCGGTGGAAAGTTAAAGACATGTAAGTGAAACTAGTTATTTTAGTTTTATATTATTTTACTTGTACTAATTTTATTGAATGATATTATAGGAACAAATGGTTGAATTGAGAAATGCTCCGGTGGAATAAGGTGTAGAACCTCCATCAGCTCGAGAAGTAACCGTGCAAGTACTAGGTAATCGCAGTGCATTTTGGATGGGGACCACCAACATCAACTGCTCATAATGAACGGAATTCCCAAAAATTTAAGGAATCGCATAATCAAATCGCACAATTACAAGCTATTGTGGAAGTACAACAAGCAATGATACAATCGCAACAAGGCACAATTGACACAACGGTGACTGAAGTAAGTCAATTTTGAGAAATAGTAATGAGGTTAAGTGCCCAATCATCACAAGGAGCTAGTTCTCAACCACCGTCCAATAATGCTTGAAAGGTACACATACATACTTATAATACATATTTGAATCAATGAATTGTTGTGACTATCCTGCAATTAGGGTAGTCATGGTTGTTCATAGAGCTTGACTAGATATTGATGCATGTCATTTTAAATATGAGTTTTTGATGTAGTTGAATTGTTGTGACTATCCTGCAGCTATGGTAGTCATAGTTGTTCATTGAGAGGAGAAAAAGGAGTGAAGGTAAAGAGAAGATAGGGGAGGGGTGGTGGAGGAAATCTAAGTGTTATGTGTTGGTTGAGGGCTTTGTAGTAGATCTCGATTATGATGGTCTTAAGACACTTTTTTGCTTTTTGCAAAGTAAGAAGTTTTTCTTTCAAGTCTCATATGGCTGGTTTGTGAAGCTTTTGCAAGACCTTGAGTTTTTTCCTTGGAGAAGATTTTATGGCAGGTTTTCTAAATCTTTACGTAGTTGGTTCTTTGCAAGAGGAAGGCTAGTTTTGAAAGTAGCACTTATGATTCTTGTCATTATTCTTTCTAGTTCTTTTGTTTTGTTTTTTTTTTCTCTCTCTTATAGAGATTGTATCCTTTGAACAATTTTGTTCCTTTTATTTTGCCACTTTTTCATTTCTTACTTTTCGTTGTGTAGATTTTGGGTTCATAATTGTAGTACTCTTTTGATGTTTTTTTTGAAGTTGGATTTATATTTTGAGGACTTCTACCCATTCAAATACCCATTCAAATGATTTATGCAATTGCATATTAAAAGTTACTTTTGCAATTCAAATGATTTAAGAGGTTGTTTTGAATAAATGTATTGTGGAATTTTTAGGTGCAAATTAGCAACCAATTAAGATGTTTTGGAGGAAGCAATACAAAACAAGAATGAACGTTGTCGCTAATATCTATTCGAACTCATGACCTTTTGGTCAAAGATAGGTGCCTTAACCACTTGAGCTATGCTCGGTTTGACAAATAAAATTGTATTTAGACATTTATCAATTAGTGCATGCATCTATTTTCAAAATAAAATAAAATAAGTGAGAAATAAATATTATTGATGAAAAAATATTATAGAACAAAACTAATGAAGGACAAAGTTGTCAAAAGAAGATGTCCTCAACATGAGAGTCTTAAAAACCCATACTACAGGAGGACATCTAAAATTGTTCAGACGCCTCCCGTATAAGCATCCTAGGATGTCCGGGTATGTAAGAAACTCTGGGTATCCAACATTCTTATTAAACAAACACGGACATATCGGATGTCCATCTCATGGGAATCTCAAATTCCCATGAAACGTCAAACGGGTCCTTAGGTTAGATTGGTCCATTTCCCTTGAGAAAACTAAACCTGACACGTTCAGTTATAATGGATTTCCAAACATAGTTATATTTTAGTTTTGACTTTTAATAAATATTTCCAAACCTGTCTACGTAAATTTTATAATGAATAAAATTAATTATCTTGTCCACGTTGTCATTTAAAAAATTTTTAAATATTTTTTATTTATAAAATTGATGACAAATATTACAATTAAAAAAAATATTATATATATATATATAATTTAGAAAAATTAATTCTCATATAAAACCTTTATCTTTTATCATCTTTAATTTGAATGGGAAAAAAACACGAAGCAAGGAATAGTTATCCACTACATCCTTTTCCTTTTTCTAATAAAAAGAAAAAAAAAATGTTAGCAAAAATGTAGTCAAATTTTTTCATTGCTGGAAGGGCCTGAGAGTGTTTGTTCGAAGAGGCAGAAAGAGTGATTATTATTATTTTGAGATAGTGAAAATGTGTTCATTAAAGTAGGCATTGGATACGCTGGTGAAGTCCAAGTCCGAGGATATTTCTGAAGTTGGCCGCTTTGTTGAGATGGTGAAGAGTTTGGAAGTTATGGCACTGTTGCTTTGTCAAAAGGAAAGGAAACGAGGTGGTGCATAATCTTGCAAGGAGAGGAATGAAGTGTGTTGGTGAATTTGTTTGGTTGGAGGAGGAGTCGCCTCCTAATCTCTAAATTTTGATCGTCTGACTTTTAGACTGGTCTTAGGTACTTTACCCACTATGCTATACTCAGACCAGCCAAAATTGGCTCTTAAATTATTCATTTATATACACTTTGTTTGAAAATGACTTGTCCAAATAATTCGGACCAACCCAACCCAAGTAGGTAGCATACAGGTGATAAGTTGGCCTATGTTAGATCCATAGTCTAGAGTTAGCAAATACAATTTATATAACATCAACAATTGAGTTTGTCCAGAGATCCTTAGTTCAACCAAACCAGTGAACCTCCTAAATCCAATATAGAAGTCCAGATAAGATTGCTTCTTTCAAAGTCCAAAAAGAGTTTCAAAACCCAATAGATAAAAGATGGGATTGTTTGAAATTTCACCAAAAAGATAAAAAAAATCATAAAGTTAAAAGACATTTCATGAAGTAATATCACTCATAAGCCTTTCCAAAGCATGGAGTGCAAGGTAGAATACCAGCAAAGATGGCAATGCAAAAAGAAAAGTGATTAGCAGGTAGAGCAGCAGGATGACAGCACTTCCTGGGATTACAAAAACAACTATCAGAAGAAATATCACAACCAGTAGAAACTTGGAGATTAAATGAATGAGCCAATCCAAATATTTATAGACAAACAACCACCGTCGCCGCCTCCCTATTCCGTGGCGACTAACATGACTGTCAAGCCTCTCAGAAGAAACTGTTTCGGTATCGGATGGCAGAGGGAAAACTGGTTGGTTATCCCCATTGAAGGAATGATCAAGTTTTCCCTCATCATCGTTGAAGCTCTCAACCATCCAAAGAAGGAAAAAGTTCTTGCTGGGGAACTTCAGGTTCCCCTTGTACACGAGCCGTAGCGATAGCTGATGGCACCAAGGACACGAAATGCAGATCGGGACTCGAATTTGGCGAGTTGCTACTTTCAACACAGACCCTTGAAGGCCTAATACACAGTTTTTGCAGAGTGTGTGACCACACCATAAGACATAAGGTATGTTCTCCACAATGTTAAAAGATTCCCAGCATATAGGGCATTCCAGTCCTTCATCTCTACTTGCTTCCGAGCAAACCTCGTCATCCGAGCATTCCCAGAAGACTTGCTTAGATACAACTGAGTTTTTCCTCAATCGAATGCCAGCAATGGCGTTTGAGGCCAACTTCCACATCCTGACAGAAGAGTTGTTTCAAGATGCTAGAGCCAGGACATCTGCAAATAAATTAGCATCCATGAAACAGAAACTACATGGGCAGAGAAACAAATCTTACAAAGTTTAAAAAAGGGTACAAAATAAGATCATCAATTGATGCAAAATTTGAGTTTCTTTTGGATAGGAGAATGGACAATTTTAGTTAGATAACAACATTTTTTCTTATGACGATTATAACACTATTCAAACTTTCCAAAATATCTTGAACTACCACATATTTCTATTTTGTTTTTTCAAACTAACATCAAAATAACGCAAATCCTTCCATGCATGCACATATGAGATAATCACCGATCAAACAGCTGGTTCCAATTCAACAATTTCCCAGATTTGAACCTTCTGCAAAGAAGCAGAGTTTACTATCGAAAAACAACAGAAGTAAAACAATAAACGGAACAACAATTTACAGCCAGGTCCGTTAAACATTTCGAGTTCCACACAAATAATCAGATAATAGAGATATACGGTTGAAGAAGCCAACGATCAATAGCAACTCCAATCAACGATTTCAGACGAAAAGAGAATTTATAAAATCGAGCAAGCCGGAAGAATCCAGGGGATAGATTACAATTACTCTCATAATTCCAAGCACAATAAATGCCAGGAAAATGTAAGCGAAAACGAGCAAATTGGGCGTAGAAACAGAATCCGCATCAGATTACGACTTAAAAAGGGAATCAGGATCAAAATCAAAGACGGGGGATGAGAATTTTTACCTCTCGAGAAGCTTGTTGATCATACATTTAGAAGAAGATCGGAAGGTTTGAGAAAGGGATAATGAAGGCGGGCGGCCCCATCATTTTCTCTCCGCCGGAGCAGCGTCGGAAATCGAATCCCAATTGCGTTTGGGAGGAGAGTGTACGAACAGAAACGGAATCCAGATCATTTTGTTTTAGGGGAGTAAATGTTAAAAATAAATAAATAAATAAGAATTTTTTTTTTTTTCCCTTTATGAAGAGAAGACCTTTCCAAGCCAATATTTATTTATGAGGGTAGCCATAAATAAAAGACCAAACGTTTGCTGAAATTTGTGGACGTTCTGACGTCGTTTTGAGGTGGCTCCTGAAACCTTGACACCTGCTTTCCTTTTAAATTTAAATTTGGGATGGGGATAATTATTTTTGCACAACTCTTTTTAATTGCAAATATAATTTTTAAGTTCATCAATACATGGTTAGATTATTGCAATAACTTTGTCAAAACTCACCAATTTTAATTAAAAAAACTTTCAAGAAAAAATTAATTAAAAAAAAAACCAACTATGATCTTCATTTTCTCTAAAATTATTTAATACAAATATCGAGGCATGGGAGTGAGAGTATCGATGTACTTTGTATAAGATTGGACAATAAAATATTTGACGAGATGTTATATGTGACTTAATCTCGATTTTGAATAAGTTATGAACTTTTGTTTGGGAGGGTGTGATTTTTGACTTGCATTGTGAGAATGAATTTTATAGTTAATTTAATAAGCTTACTATTTTGACAACACGACTAAATAGAGAGTCGAAAATATGATTTCACAAAATGAAATTCACTCGTTTCCATATATGGTAAGTAAATGAGTAGTTTTTAAGTGTTGATTTCAAAACTTGAATTATAGGATCCCGCCCTCCTCTTGACCCAAGAGGGACTAAATTTATGGTTTAATTATAAACAAAGTTTTATTAAAGAATAACTAGAACTTAATGTATAATATATGGGTAAATTGACATTTGATCCAGCTATAATTATGAACAACTCGTGAAAAAGCGACTTGCTTGCAATTATATATATGGACATAACTTGTGGTACAATGAATAAGGGTACGACTCTAGGTTTATAGTAAAATTACATTGAATTAATGAATGAAAATTAGTTAAACAATTAATTAATTATAATAACATTAAAAGAAAGGATATTAGAAACTTATAATAGCAGCACAAAAATGTTGTTGTGTGTCTATAGTTGCACACTTTATTAGCAACTTATTATAGCTTTAGAAACGAATGCTATGATAGATTTTCATAGCAAGGTGAATAAGCTATATTTTTATTATAACTCTACTCATTCTCTATTTTCAGTAGGCATGGATCACTTATTTCTTGTGTTTCATTTTACTTGTACATCTTTCTATATATTTTTTGTATCCCATCGAGAAAGAATTACAGAAAACATTTTCCATCCTCTCTTGAGTTCTCTGTTTTCAAGCAACCTATAAACCCAATCTTGGTATTAGAGCTTCCACGGCCAACACGGTCAAAGAGACCATTCCAACAGGAGGAGACAGAAACTTCTGTTGCCACTACTAATATGAATGGCAGCACACTACAAGTAAGATCGGGTAATTGCCCTGTTAGCTTTACCAATCTCACGCCGAGAGGAGATTTAGACGAAAACGATTGTTGTGTCGTGGATGGACCAATATCTTGAAAGCAATTTCGGCATGACCATGGTACTAAATCGTATTTAAGCTGGTCGCTCTCCAAGATTAACACAATTTCGAATTCAGGTGTGCACCTGCCAGAACCAAATGAAACCGAAGAACATGCTCGTAATTTTTTATAGAAAAATGACAGAAAAATCTCCCAAATCAAATCACTTCTATATCCTCTTTTTAAAGTCACCCAAGGTATATGAAAAGAAGGAAACATTTTTCAAAAATTAATTCATCAACTTAATATGTAACATTAAAATTAATTAAATGTTATCAATAATAAAATGCAATTAATTTAAAACATAATTAACCATTTAATGTCCGTGAAAACCATTTTTTCTGGTGGGAACTTAAGTTGGATGGATGGATTTTTTTGCCGTGGCAGAATATTGTTATTCCTATATTGAAGAGCTACCGACTAAAGGGTCACTTAACAGGAAAGACACCACCCTTTGAGGAGTCGATCCTGATTCCTCCTTCAGTTGAAGAACCCGAAGGGATACTCCACCTTCCTGATAACTCAATGACACTGCCAAGTTATGGGATGTGACGAGGCCAAGAAGCTTTGGGAATCTCGCTTAGAATACCATGGAGTTCAGTAAATGCTTCAGCAAACCAGAAAAGGAAATACAAAGATGAGTGAATAATATTTGTTGTTCATGCAAGATTTGGTCGGGGTACAGAAGATGACCTCGAAGGTCAGCCGAAGGCACTTATGCGGTTGTTTGGGGTACCTGCAAAGATGCAATCACTCCGATGTCCAAAATAGTATTCAAGTCGAGCTCAATAGATACACATCAGACAGATTTTTTTATACCTGGAGTAATGGACGAAGGGTGTATTTATAGCGGTAATTGGGCAGATACACGTCCCATCAATGTAATCTGCTGTTTGGGGAGGGGCTCATCGAATAACCGTTGTTCCCCGACAGCGACCGGTCTCTGAAGGACGAGGTTATGCGGCCGCCTTGTTCGTCTAAGCTACTAAGGCCGACTCCTTGGCGCGCAAAGCTCCCCCAACATTTGGCCACGAAAAAATACTATAATAACCTTTATCTTGCAAGGTATCCAATGGATATGAGAAGCTTCATCTCATATGTTATGGCTGCATTGGATGAAGACTACACTCGAATAAAGAAAGAATAATGGTAGGAGATGGGAATAAACCTACTGTTGCACACATTGAAACATCTCTTATCAAAACTAAAGAAAGAAATTTTATCCTTAGAGATTTTTTACGTGTCCCAACTCATTGAAAAGAATTTAATTAGCATTTCTAAAATAAATAAGGATAACTTGGTTACTGTGGAAATTCATGAAATGTTCTATGTTGTAAAGGAAAAGGAGTCGAATGAAGTGTGGTTGGAAGGAGATTTGAGCAAGCTCCATGGAATCATTATAGTTTCTGATTGGGATCAAGGAAATAAAGAAGTAGGTCTTGTTAACATGCGTGAACTAGGCTAAGAGTCGGGAAGTCCAAAGGAATTTGACAACTTCTTATAGTTATCTGTTTTTGGCATGTACAAAAAGATATATGGCACCAAACCACCCATCCCCTAGAATTTTGAGTCAAAAATTCAATCCAATTGTAACGTTTATACTAATAGTAATGAAAAGTTATCTTTTTGTGAGGCCCGTCAGTAGGTTAAAAATCATCGACTTTTCTTTTCGCTTTCTGATTCTCGTGCTAAGCATCCTCTTGAACTCATACATATTGTTGACCTATGGGGACCAGCTTCTATGAAATCAACAAATGGATACCTATATTATGTTGGTTTTCTCTGGATGATTATATTAGAGATATGTGGAAATAATAAATATGTTCAAATAGTTTAAAACTCAAGCTGAAACTCAGTACAATGAGAGAATTAAATGCATTAGAATTGGATTGATGAAGGTGGAGAATTCAAACCCTTGACAAGGAACAAGAGATTGAAGTACACAACTATCTTGTCCTTATACATCACCTAGAATGGAAGGATTGAGAGGAAACGTAGACACATTGTTGAAACTAGCTTAACTTGGCTTGCACAATCACCAATGCTCACTCTATGATTACACCGGGTAAAGTTAGTATACTAAACCCAAACCGATTTTTAGTGGTCTAACTCAAATATCTCCTACCATTGATTGGTCCCTCAGTGTACCCATCTTTGTTGAAGCTGCATCAACCAATGTATGGCAGAGAGCTATGGATGAAGCACCAACACTTGGACACTGGTACCTCCTTCCCCATCTCAATACTTAGTTGGTATACTAAATGAGTTTACAAGATTAAGAGAGTTGCTGATGATAATGTTGAATGGTGTAAAGTTAGATTGGTTGCGAAGGGATACCTACAAGTACCTGGCATTGATACTAAGAAACTTAAAGTCCTGTGAGTAAACCATCTTCCATATCATAGTCCTCACCCTTTGCTCTCATGAAAGTAGACCATTAAACAACTTGATGTAAGCAACTCTTTTTTACATGGAACCCTTCACGAGGATATCTTTGTTAATCAATCCCCAAGCTACATAGATTCAGCTCATCCTAATTTTGTATGAAAGCTTAAAGAAAATCCTATGTGGTTTGAAATAGGCTTCATGTATCTGGTACGAGAAACTTCGCACGGCTACAACTTTAGAGAGGGTGAATAGGGTTAAACGAAATTTTAATAAATTTTGTAATACAATGTGGCCCAATTAAATAAACTGGTAAACTTTTTACAAATAATTAATTTTATCTAAAATTAAGCAATAAATTAAAAATGTAATCACTCTAATTAATTCTATCACCAAAATAATTATGAACCCAATAAAATTAAAGGAAGCAATTTATACTCCCAATAAAGTGTAACACTTAATTTTATGTCATTTATAATAGAGAAAATTAATTTGAAATATTAAATAAGAGAGAGTTAGAGAAATTGACACCGAGAATTTATAGTGGTTTGGGAAAACACTAGCCTACCCTACTCCCCGAGCTCCTATTGGGTGTTCGACTAAGAAAACTCGACTCTTTCCACGGTAGGAGTCAAACCGGTACAATATTCTTTTTTTCATAGCAAAATCCAATCTCGGTACAACATTTTTTTTTCAGAGCAAGAACAAATCTGATCTTTTTCACTGTCCATGATCAAACTGTCACAATGCTCTTTTTCGGGCTCAAGTGTAACCTGTAAAAAATTTGAAAATTTGAAGAACAAGCTTACAAACTCTCTTAAACAATGGATATACAAATTTAACACACAATTTTGTAGGAAAAAATCTTATAAAATAAAGCCCTCAAACAGCATACAGAAAATAAAATTTGTCTTTCTTAAACATATATGTCTTTCTTTACCTATCAAAGGTGTCATCTTCCTCCTAGTAAGATTTAATGATCAGTTCACATTAAATGATAGGAGTCGAATCGGTACAACATTCTTTTTCCGAGAGCAAGAACAAACTCGATCCTTTATACGGTTCAGGATTCAATCGTTACAGTGTTCTTTTCGGGCTCAAGAGCAACTCTTATAAAATTTGGAAATTTTAAGAACAAGCTTACAAACTCTCTCAAATAGTGAGTGTATGTACAAATTTAACTCACAAATTTTGTAAGAAAAATTCTTACAAAATAAAACCCTCGAATGGTTAAGAGAAAATAAAAATGGCAAGTTCAAATACCTCTTAAAATTAAATCACTCTCAAAAAATTATCTCTTAAAATAAAATCTCTTTCAAGAAATTAGAATAATTTTAGAATTTTGGAGAGAAGAAACATCGAGAAATTAGAGAAAAAATTGGGAGAGAAAATGTTGTGAAATTTTTAGAGAAGAATGAATTTAAACCTGAAGAGGAAAAATTAGAAAAAAATTTGAAATCAAATTTAAATTTGGAGGATTGCATCTTAAATAGTTAACCTTTTACATACATATATATATATATTTGTCTCTTTTTTTTTAATATAACAATCCAACGGCTCTTTCCTAATTTCTTTCCTTTTTTTATTTTATTTTTACCTTCTTTTATTTTCTATTCTTTCCTTTTCTTTTTATTGAAATTTTGACGTGTCTTCTTATGAAGATTGGTCCACGTCCAACGCGAAGATATTTTTTTTTCTTCTAGCTTGTTTTGTCCATAAATTCTTCATTTAAATAATGATTTGGGTGATTTCGTTGTATTGAGCTCTAAGCTATGGATACTTTGGAACACTAACACTCCTTGTTAAACAAAATATGTAATATTAATAAATCATATAATATGATTGAAGCTCGTAATAAATTTATGTTTATAATAATAACTCTAACATAACAAAAATAATTAATACTAAGGGCATGTTTGTTGTCATCAAAATATTAATTAATTAAATTAATTAATTGAGATTAAGAGCCAAAAAGTCAACACATACTACGCTTCTTGTCTGGTAGTTCAAGCAATCTAAGACATCTATGTCTCTCTTCACCTATCATTCGACCAAAGGTGTGATCTTCCTCCTAGTATATGTTGATGACATTATTGTTACCGGTTTCAATCCTCTACTCATATGTGATCTCATTTTCAAGTTAGAAACCATGTTTGCTATCTAAGACCTTGGCGTTCTCCACTACTTCCTCAGAATTCAAGCTCACTCTACCAATTCAGTTCTTCTTCTCACTCAAACTAAATAGATTTAGGACTTACTTCTCAAACTCAATATGCACGACATTAAGTCTTCTCCATCACCCACCAAACCGAACATAGCTCAAATGGTTAAGGCACCTATCTCTGACCAAAAAGTCATGAGTTCAAACCTCCATCCTCACATGTTGTATAAAAAAAAATATCTCAATTTATGATGGTGATCCTAATGATAACTCCTCAATTATATTGTAGCACCTTGGATTGTTTACAGTACCTCCTGCATGGAAGTCTGTGGGCGCTTATTGTGTGTTCCTTGGACCAATTCTGGTCTCTTGGTCTTCCAAGAAACAAGTCGTTGTTGCATGCTCCAGCACCAAATTCGAGTATCGTGCTCTGTAAAGTCACGTGTGAACTCGTCTAGCTCAAGACTCTTCTTCGTGAACTGTATATTCAATTGCTCACTCCTCCCCTCACTTGGTGTGATAATGTAAGTGTCAAAGTCTTAGCTCTCAATCCAATCTTCCCTGCTCGTACCAAGCACATTGAGATCGATATTCATTTCATTCGGGATCAAGCACTTTCAATCATCTTCAACTTCGCCATTTATCTTCTGCTGCTAATATTGCTTATTGTTTGACCAAGTCTCTACCACATTTTCAGTAGCATAAGTCACTTCTTTCTTGCATGTCTTTCATTTTACTTGTTTATCTTTCTATATATTCTTTGTATCCCATTGAGAATTACAAAAATCATTTTCCAACCTCTCTTGAGTTCTCTGTTTTCAAGCAATCTACAAACTAAATTTGTAGTTAGTTCAAAATTTCATAATGTGTTTGGCGATACATGAAATTTGAAAAAAAACTATTTTAAAATGAAACCACTCCCTACGAGCACTTTTGAAATAATTACTAATTTATGGTGTGTTTAGTATAGTTTCCTAAGCGATTATTGATAACTAAAAGTTTTTTTTTTCTAATCTACACTATTTGGTAATAAATAAATAAAGACTTAAAAAATATATGATTGCTTTATTCATCTTTTGAAGAAATTTTTAAAGAGATGATTATCCCAAAAAAATATATTTTAAAGTGATTGATATTATTGTAGTTTAAGCACATGAGAGGTAATTTCGAAATGTAAAGGAAAAAAAGTGTTTAAATAAAAAAATATACTATACTCACCCTTTATTGCGGTAAAAAGTGTTTTTTGACTAGTTACAAATGATTTTTTCAAATTTTGCAATAACTAGAATTTATTTGAAGTTCTAAAAACATATAAAAAAGCACCTACAGTACTTTTAGAAGAAACAATTAACTAATTTTCTTTCTAAAGTGTTTTAAAAATAAATGCTCAAAAACATTTTTTTCGAGAGGTGTGTCAAACACAAAATATTTTTTAATAAAAAAATACTTTTTTGTGCATTTGTTTAAATTAAAAAAAAGTGCTTTTAAAAACTATTTTACTTCAATGCACTACACTTTATCTAAAATCACTTAAAAACTATTTTCACCTGAATTTTTCTTTAAAGTACTCATAAAAGGGCAATTTTCCTTTCTAAAAAATATATTTTCTCAGAATTTATCCCAAACATACGGTAAGTTGATTATAGAAGCCAATTTTTTTAATTGAAAAAGAAGTATAAATCTTCCTCATTTTAATATATTGAAACTCAATATTTCATGTTCATAAATTATTAGGCTCCGTTTACTTCAAGATAATGAAAATTAAGAAACAAGAATGATAATTATGTTTACAAAAATGTATGAATATAATAAAAATTGATTCACTCTCTCTAAAAATGTTATTCAGTCTTCAAAAATCTTATCATTCTCATTCCTTCGGATTCTACCATTTGTCAAAAATTATTATACAATTTTTAATCTATCAGCTATAACGAGGCTAACTTTTTTTATTAAACACTATTTTATTTTTCTCTTTATTTATACTACTAAAAAAATTTATAATAATTAATTATGCAAACATTTTTAGTTGATGTGATTTTATAATAATATATTTAAAATTTTTATTTACTTTTACTTTGTTATTATTAATTAATATCAATAAAATTATTAAGGTAAAATTCACTATTATAAATATTTTATATTGATTGTGATTGTTCAAATAAAAATTATATTAATTTTTCTAGTTGATTTTAATTATTTATTATTTTTTTAATATTAAATAGATGATTAAAATAAAAATATTACTATCAAATAAAATAAATTAAAATTTACTATTGTTTTAATTAAAAATAATATTAGCATTAGTTAATGCATTTGTAAATAACTAGATAAAAAAAAGGATATTATAGTAATTTTGATTCCTATTCTAGTTACAGAGTTTGAACAGATTTAAGCGATTCTAGAAAATCTCCAGTAAATAACATTAAAAAGGAAAAAAAAAGATTTCCATTTTGATTTTCATTCCAATTCTTAATAAGTAAACAGGAATGGATTCCCGAGGTTTGACAAACATTAGGCTGCAATGCAGCAAGTACAAGCGGATAAATTTACTTTACATTCTATTACTACGAATATAGCTTATACTATTCAGTTAATTCCAACAAGTGAATAATATATACACATCGCAGCCTTCCATAAGGTTCATAATGGCAACATCCCGAGCTAGATTTCGCCAACATGAGCATATATGTAAACTTAAACAAGATTCCTTTCACGCTCGGAAAACTGAAATCCCTATTCGACTTACTGAATTAAACAACGAAATCTGCATCAGAAACAACTTCAAGAACCTTGTGGAAACCTATCGGCTTGACGCCTTGTCGAAACGCGTTTCCTTCGATGTACCTACAAACAACACGGCCTCAGAGAATACTATCTACGCAACAATAATTGATATGAAGTTTAAGTTTTGAATTCAGGATAGATAAGAAACTTACATCTCTTTTAAGAATGGGTGTTTGTAGAAGGCATCAGTGATTCTTCCACTAAATTGGTTGTGGTCCAAGTACCTAAAATTAAAACCATGACAGTTATTAGTTTGCCATTTGGTTGTCTCGTTTTTCCTCTGACAGTTTGGCAGTTCAATTGGTTCAGTTTTGGTTTGGCTGGAAAACCGAGCCAAACCGAATTGCTTGAACCCCTACTCTCCAGGACTTCCACAAGGGGACAGTTATTAGTTTTCACCTATACTCCTAATTTAGGGAAGCAATCTATGAAGAACCGTGCTTCTTTCTAGGGAAAGTTGATGCTTTTTTAAAAGGAAAAAACTTGACTTAGCAACTTCTTAACACAAATGGCAGATTTCAACCAAATAATAAATACATCAATCGAAAATGAAGACGACAGAACAGACTTACAGATAAGTCAACTTGGGAATATGGGCAACCCCAGGTGGTATTATTCCAGACATCTTGTTGTAGGAGAGGTACCTACAATCAACAAAACAAATGATTAGACAAAACTAATAATACTGACTTAAGAAAGCCATTTTTTTTTGGTGTGGAAAGAGAGAGCTAAAGTTCAGCAGATTACAGAATTTCTAAGTTGGTCAGATTTGCAAGCTGTGATGGAACTCCTCCCGTAAAATAATTATTGTTTATGTACCTACATTAAGAAATAAAAATGAACTCGTTAAAAGTAGTATTTCCGAATAACATTGACTACGAAAATGGAACTTCCCAACTTCAATTAACTTACAGGTTGCGGATCAATGGAAAACAACCCTCGATACGAATTAGTTCCCTTATGGTACCAACCAAGTGATTGTTACCAACATCCCTTTACAAAGTAAAAATGACATGTCAAAAGTAAACAACTATTTATTATTTTCCATAACAAAATGATTCAAATAACAGAAATTTACAGGTGACGCAGATTGGGTAGGGTGCCTAGTTCAGCAGGAATTCTCCCTGAAAGGCGATTGTCATTTAAATGGAGATAGCGGAGCTCCCGAAGATTAGCAAGCTCCTTGGGGATTTCCCCTTTGAAATTATTAAAACCCAAATATCTGCACAAGATCAAAATTGCATAAAAGTGAATAGATTAAAGTGCAAAGAAATTGAGAAAACAATGTATACCAGAAACTAAAATTACTCACAAATGAGTTAGACTCTTCAGCGCTCCGATCTCGGGAGGGATAACATCTTGAAGTTTATTCCACCTTAAGTTACTGGGAAGACAGGAAACTATAGATCAACGAGGCAATGTCAAATGATTCAAGATACCAAACTTCAGACCACAACTGAGCATGAGCTACCACATGTACATCATTTCATTTACTTTTCCTTTTATGATACATATATATATATATATATGAAAAAGAAACCACATTGGCATTAGTTTTATAAACAAAAATATAACATCCACAGCAGAAGTGGACTTCGAGCTCTTTGGAATAAAGAAACGACAGAAACCAGATAAATCACCAAACGAGTGAAAGGGATGTACAGTATCTTGAGACGTTTTAACCGTCCAATTTGAGGAGGAATTGGCCCAGCCAACTTGTTATTATGAAGATCCCTGTTATAAGAACAAACACAGGCATACAAATAATGAGCATCTTGGAGAGGTGTGAATCTATTTTCCCTCTAATCCACCTTTTAAATTATAATAAGAGGTGATAAATCTTGAAGTATTAACGTTAAATGCCATTTGTGGCTAAATTATGTTTAAATAACAGAAATAATAATAAAAACAATCTAGTGAATCACCGTGACGATGCAAATGCAACAGTTGGCTACTAGAAAAACTACTTTGTACATCACTAGAGCCCGTATGGATCACGTTCTGTTTTTTAAAAATTATTCTTATATACTGCAATTTTTCTTTGTTTTATAATCTACTTTCAAAATCATTTTTAAAATCATAGACAAATTTTAGAAAAACTGAAAAAAAAAAATTACTTTTGAAATTTGACAAGAGTGTCTTAAAAGAGGGAAAACTAAAAGATTTGGAAAATGTAGTTTGTTGAGCTTATTTGTCACAAATAGAAAACCAAAAACAAAATCGTTTTTCCACAAGTCTAAATATGGAAAATTAAACATTATGCGATAGAAATCGGCTCTTCATTATCAGAAGACAGAAACAATGTGCAAAAACAGAAGTGCACCAGGATGAAAACAATTGATTTACATGACAATGGCGAGCGTATCGATCATAATGTCATTAGCACAGTAAAAAGAAGAATAAATTAGGATAACATAAGCGAAAGAAGAAGCTCACAGCCTAGTAAGGTCCAAGAGATTGGTAACGGCGGCGGGAAAAGGTCCAACGATTGACACCGCATAGACTTCTCTGCAAAGAAATGCCAACAAACAAATACGAACCGAAATTAGTTCTCGAACAACCAATTCTCGAGGAAATCCCAAATCGGAAGCAAAGCTTCTGAAGAATTAGATGCAAATTTGTGGAGATTTGACTAGGATGAACTTAAAATAGCAACAATTAGAAGGAAGGAGACAAAAAATTGGAAGATTGGATTGAGAGTAGGCATACAATTCAGTGACGACTCTGTAATCTCCTTGAGTGGAACAGGTAACGCCGGACCAAGGGGGAAGAACAGCATCGCCACAGGGATCATCTCCGACCCAGGAATACACCACTCTCCAACCGAGGGAGGCCTTGATCTCATTCAATGCTTTCACTGCGAAATCCCAAACAAAAACCTACTAAGAATCGAAGGATCGCAAAGAAGAAGGGCGCGGCGCCGAGAATGCTTACCGTCTCGTTTCAAGGTTTTGCACAGAGCGGATTCGGGAGCAAATGTGAAAACGAAGAGGATTATGGAGAATGCTGTGAATGAAAATCGGTGCGCCATTTCTAATTCCTGCGAAGTTTTGAGTTTGTTTGTGGATCTCATGAAATCAAAACACTGGCACTAGAGCTCGGGGCATTTCAAGACTTATAGAACATTTTTTTTCCATAACAAAAAAAAAAAAGATATGGCTTTTTCCTTCCAATTACTTAGAAAACATAGTTACGGTAGGGATGACTGAYGAGTTTAGATGCCTTTTAGAAAAATGTCTTAAGCAAAATAATCTTATTAGTAATTATTGAAAGCTACTGCAAAATAACGAGTTAAATGTGTTTTTAAAATGTCATCTTAAAACTCAAAATTCAAGATGGGGAGGATATCAGGAATTGTGAAGGTAGAAGGCAATTTGGATCAATCCAACATATTAAGAGGAACTCGAATTCGATAGCTCATGAGATTGCTTGGTTTGCGATGGAAGAGGGGTAAAGATAGAGTGGTCTCCAGATCTCTTGCTTTGGTTATCGAGTTTTGTAGAATTTGATTTTTCTTAGTCTTGTTGCGTTCTATGCATTATTAAAAAAAATATCATCTTAGAAGTCAATTTGAGCATAGTTCAACTGGTTAAAATATACATCTCCGATCATAAAGTCATGAACTCGAATCACCACCTCCATGTACTGTACTAAACAAAATTTATCTATTTTTTGAAAACAAGGGAACAAAATTAACAAAGCACATCTAGACACTCATGAGCCAAAAACGAAGATAACTCCGCCGGCCCACTCTCCAACCAAATTCTGTGTTCTCGTTGAAGGACAGCCCTCCTTGCCAAAAGATCAGCAACTCCATTCCCTTCCCTTCTTGTAAATCAGACGCTTCATTTGGTAAAAGCTTTTTCGCCACTGCTACAATTTCTCCTGATTCTGAAATGTCTTCTCCATTTCCTTACAGAACAGATTGTAAATACGCAAGGAATCAACTTCTAGCTGGATCGGATGAATGCCTGCTTCTATCGCAAATTTCAGGCCCTCTAAAGCAGCCCGAGCTTCAGCCTTGTCCACGGATGACACGAACTCTAGGTATTTGGTTTCTGAAGCGATTACTTGTCCTCGATGGTCTCGGATAATGATTCCCAACCCTGCATTAGAATCATTCAAGGATATTGCTGCATCTGTGTTAATTTTATAAACACCTTCTTCGAGAGGTTTCCATTGATCTGTCCTCTTATTGTGATTGTTGGTGTCTGTTTTTGCATAAGCGGATCTAAGTCCCTCCAAATAGGAAGACACCCAATCAACTAGGTGGGCCTGATCAAAATCTTCCTTCCACTTGAAGACCTTTACATTCTTCTGGTTTCAAATACCCCAAATAAAAACTACCATCTCCTCAAAATCTGTCAAATCAACCCCTAACAATTGCCGCAACAATTCTGCACATCCACCCCTCTTTGTATGAGGTTGGCCCCTGTTGGAAGTTTATCAAGGCACAATCGCCAGAGGAAAATTCTGATTTTGCTCGGAATGTGCAATTTCCAAATACCTTTCCACCAATTAGTAAGAGTATCAGAAGAAGAGGTAGCTATTGAGTTTGGAATTTTCTTTTGAGCAACCATGTATCCACTTTTTACCGAGTAGACACCGTTTTTCTCAAAGTGTCAAATCAACTTATCTTCCCCGCTCGAAGATACAAAAGGAATCCCAAGTGTGTGTTTTGACTCATCCTCAGAAAAAAAAGGCCCTGAACAACCTCACGACGCCAGTGGCCATCCTGATCAATCAAATGACTAACTATTGTATGAAGAGGAAGTTGAGGAGGTGATAAAATTTGGAAAAGAGGATGATTAGGGACCCAATTGGTCCCATAAATCGAAACATTTTCACCATTCACAATCTCCACCGCAACCCTTCTTTCAACAGGTCACGCCCTTGAACAATACTCCTCCAAATAAAAGAGGGGTTCCAACCAACCTTCGCAGACATGAAATCATAGTCCCCAAAATATCTTCCTTTAAGAACTCGAGAAAGAAGGGAGGAAGGGTCATGAAGAATTCACCATACCTGTTTCGCCAAGAGGACTTTGTTAAAAAGTTCTATATCGCGAAAGCCCATCCCCCTAGGCACTTTGGCTTGCACATTGTTTTCCAGGCAACCCAGTGGATTTTCCTGTCTTCCTCTCCCTCGCCCCAGCAGAAACGAGCTGCCAGTTGGTTAAGCTCATTGAGTAACTTCCTAGGCAACCAGAAGCTAGACATCGAATAACATGGAATAGCTTGAATAATTGCTTTGATAAAGACTTCTTTACCTCCTATAGATCAGAAGAGTTTGCCTTTCCACCCTTGAAGGTTCTTCCACACGCAATCTTTAATGTAATTGAAAGTGGTACTCCGGCATATCGGGCAAAGGATGGAAGACCAAGATACTGGTGATGACATTCAACTACATGCACATCCAACAACGATCCAAGATGAGATTTAATCTCATTGCTGGCGTTGGGACTAACAGTTAACACCGATTTGTCATAGTTAACCACCTGTCCCGAAACAACTTTGTAATTCTTCAAACAAGATTTAATAGTCCTCCCTTCCCTTTCTGTGGCTTTAAGGCTATCATCTGCGAAAAATAAATGAGTTATGGAAGGGCTTCGTCGAGCAATAGATAATCCCGAAACTAATTTCACTTCCGCAGCATGCTTAAGAAGACGTGATAGTCGTTCCACACAAATAAGGAATAGATACGAAGATAATGGATCTCCTTGGCGAAGCCCTCTTTGAGGAATTAAATGACCAGCCTTTTCCCCTTCAACAGAACTAACACACCTCGTAATTAGATTGACTCAATCAGCTCCAAACCCCATTTGGATCATAACGCCTCTTAAAAAATACCACTCCACCTGATCATAAGCCTTGCTTATATCCAGCTTCAGGCATGCCCAAGCTATCTTCCCCGAATGCTTATTGCGAAGCCAACGGATGCATTCGTAACCAAGAATTGCATTATCTGTGATATATCTCTTCGGAATGAAAACACTCTGGTTGGGAGAAATGAGTAAGTGTAGAATCCTCTTCATCCTATTCACGAGAACTTTTGAAATAATTTTATAGCACACATTGCATAAGGAGATCGACCTTAAATCAACTACCTGTTTTGGGTTTTTAGACTTGGGAATAAGAACCAACATGGTTTCATTAATACTCTCCATATCATGATTGTTATTCAAGATATTAAGAAAACACTGTTACCTCTTTCCCCACAATATGTCAGAAGTTTTTGTAGAAAGCTCGAGATATACCATTGGGTCCAGGATGAATTTGACTAACTGCTAAATTTAGTCACTAGACTTCATAAGAAGTTTACTATTCATGTAAGTCGTAATCCTCCTCAAAAAAGAGCTTGTATTTAAATGTTTACCTTAAAATAAGTATTTTTATCTAGGTTAAGAATTTTTTAAATTACTTTTTCATTATCCATTGTTATGATCCCTCTTTAAAATTTTAATCAAACACTATTGATTTCTAATTTCTAAGTTAAAATATTTCTGGTAGGACTATCAAATACTATTATTTATTAAACTATACGGCATGTAAGACATTATATTTAATCTCTATTATCTTAAATTTTTTGCTTTATTGGTGCCCTTGAAAATTGAATCCTTCAATGCCAGGAAACATATATATAAACGAGTTGTATTTTCAAATCTTGGGCCAACCTTTAGTTGGCCCAAATTAACATGAGTTCACAAATTTAACTGATGTAAGCCCATAATATTTCAAAACAAATGCATAAAGGATTTATGTGAAGTATATATACAAAGCTTGATACTAATATTTTATTTTTATTGTACAAGACCTTCAAATCCAGAGATGTTACCAAAGTGTGATTTGCATGATGTTGTAGTCGTCGGATTTGGAAAAGATAAGTATGGTAATAACTTTTGGACGATCTGAAAATTTTTGGGACGAAACGTGAGGTCACCAATATTATGCAGAACTTGGTACATACGTCATGTATACTTCAATTGGCTGGAAAATATTTCTTGAGAAAATATCATATCCCGCTAGGACATTCTCATTTTCGCTTACATCGAACTTCTTTGAGGCAAGGGAAATCCTTCCTCAGGCACCAAACAACACTCCATCAAATTATATCAAACATAGAACTGAAAAAAGAGTAGTTAGAAAATTGAAATAAAAAGTTGAAAAATAGAAGACTAAAATCAAAGATTTAAAATACAAAGATGAAATTCTAAAAAATAAAGTAGAAAGTTTTATGTTGAAAAGTATGGTTAAATGTAAAAAGAGTTGTTTGGAAACCATTTCCAAAACATTAGTTTGTTTTTAATTTAGAGAGAGAAAAAAAGAGATAATTGATTTTACTCTCACAAATCATTATTTTTAAAAAACTAATAATAAAAGCATATTTAATTTAAAATTACAAATAATGGATAGTAATTTGAAGGTACACAGTTATATTAATTTTAAGTATCAATAAAGTGAAAATTAATTGGAAAGAACATATTGCATTAAAAATTATAAAAGTATGAATAGCAATTAGGTAGAGAGTTATATTAATTTTAACTATGGAAAAATTAGTTGGAAAAAGTGATAAAGTTAACAATTTCAAAATCACATAGTATTAATAGCTTTTCCAAAATTACATTTATTGAAATTACGTTGCTGTATTGAGAGCCTAATACAATGGCGTTGTATCCTCCTCTCAATAGCGATTCAATACTGCATACTGATTACAATTTATCCTATTCAACTTTGTTGTCTTTCATTAGTTTGGACTATGCATTGCATTACTTTTGGGACTAAGTTATAGTCAGGTCGGGCCTAACGTGTAGGTAAGTGAACCATAATATATAATATATTTATATATACTGAAATGTAGCTTATGTGACGGTGTGCTTTTTCTTCTTTGATTTTTCTTTTGTTAGATCGTTGTTGGGCCGTTGGTCTATTGAAACCTTATACAACATAAATCATCATGGGCTTTATATATGATCCAAGCTCATTTCCACCTCTTAAACCCTCCAACCAAACAGGCCTTTGGGTGTTTGGTTCCCAGGTTTAACTTGGATTTATTAAGTATGAGTTTTTAGTCTGGGTTTGTCAAAGTCTTTGTTTGGTTAGACAGAAAATAGATTTGTTATGTTTGGGTTTGTTAAATCTGTATTTGGTTGGCAAAATATAAGGTTGTTAAGTTTG